TTGAGTGATTTTCCTTGTACAGAGCCAGTGGAATGGCTCAGTAGGCTTGTCTTCCAATCGTGAATGTGAAACATCATTTATGCATGGCAGTGCACCGTCTGTCTCAGTGTGGACTGTCGGAAGTATCTCTAGTCCTTTCACACCATCTTAGGAGGCTGTCAGAAGCTGTCCTGGCCATGTCCCTAATAAAGTCTGTCAGTTGAAGGCATTGCGCCAGATCTTCATGGGATGAGCATCCAAACCGAAGTAAGTGGTTGAATGTCATCACAAATAGCAAGCCAGATAGACCGACGGCAGTTCTACAAATTATTCATTGAGCTATGAGTATCTTAGAGCAGAAGCTTCGAACATACAGTCCACTCTGTCAAACTCAGACTCTGTCTTTCTCGGATTGCTGTATAAACAGGACTGAACTTACGGTCCCAATGTAATCCTTCTTTGTTGTCATAATGAAAAAGTTCTGTATCTCGGACTCTCATTAATTTGGATTTCGGACCAAAGTGTCGGCCCGCATACTGAATTGTCACTTGTAACCAAGATAAATCTAATCAATGATTCTGAAGCTATTCCAAAGATTTTTCAGAAAGACTTGGCCGACAAATACCAGATAAGCAAACAAACTGTATCTGACATTTTGAAGAAAAAGGAAGATTACAGATCACAGTTTGAAGAAAATGTGAATGATGTGAGATTCCGAATGCACATTAAAATCTGTGTACCTCGGACTGCTGTCTAATTCAGACTTTTTAGTCGGTCCCAAGCCGGTCCCAAGCTGGTTAGAATTAGACAGAGTGCTGTACTTTCATACCAACCTGTGCCTTGGGTATTCCTGGGTTGAACAGGTCCCTAGCAACCCATTCTGGTTTCTAGGCCTAGTGACTTGATACAGTGTCATGTGACATGGATTGTTGGTCTTAATATCAATCACTGGATTGACTATTCTAGACTCGTACTACTTGAATACTGTTGAACATTAATAACATCTAAACAGCTCAAGCAGATGACTTCTGTGATGAATGTAATACATCAACAAATTACTCTGTCGACTACTGACCTAAACTGTGCTATAGAATTACTATGAGTAACTGTGTCTGTGAACTATAAAAACTAATCAGCAAATGATAATGCCAAAACATTGACTTCAATGACCAACGAAATTGCCCTGGGACTGTTTTAAACGAGTAGGCGCATCCTGGGCATATGAATAGGCAGTGGACATGTAACCTACATTATCATATTCCTGGGGTAGAATAAGTCTTCAGCAACCCATGCTTGCGACAAAAGGCGACTATGCTTGTCGTAAGATGCGACTAACGGGATCAGGTAGTCAGGCTTGCTGACTTGGTTGACACATGTCATCGGTTCCCAATTGCTCAGATCGATGCTCCTGCTGTTGATCACTGGATTGTGTGGTCCAGACTCGATTATTTACAGACTGCCGCCATATAGCTGGAATATTGCTGAGTGCGACATTAAACCAAACTCACTCACTCACTCACTCACATTATCATATTTGTAAACAACAACTGCTCCATCTTGCACAGCTGGCAACTGTCATAACAGTTTGTGTCATGTGCATAAACAAACTGATCCCACTTTAGGTGAAATTTGGTAAGATAAGCACTATCTCAGTCTAGTTTTCAGTTACACTGTTTTTGCAAGCTTTGTTATTTTTAGCATTGTTTTGCTCATGTGCAGTGAACTTGATGCGACTAGATACTTAAGAATGCCCAGAAAAAAATTATGGATGTGGGCAAGTGACCCTCAAATGTTGTAGCATACATGATTGCTTTAGGGGCAGTGGGGTAGCCTGATGGTTAAAGCATCAGCTTGTCACAACAACAACCCAGGTTTGATTCCCCACATGGGTACAATATGTGAAGCCAATTTCTTTTGTCCCCCGCTGTGATATTGCTGGAATATTGCTAAACGCAGCGTAAAATTAAACTCACTCACTCAAGCTATTTACGGTTTTACTGCCTGCAGCATTCACTGATTCCTCTTTCATTAACGCATTTGTTTGTTCGTTTATAAAGTCATAGATTTATTCATTTATTCAAGATATCAATTCAGTTATTGTTTGTCCAGTCAAACAAAGAAGTGAGAACCAGAAGTTGCCATTTTCACAATATCCCAGCATGGCTACCTTTCCTCATAACCCAAGGAGGCTATTGAGAACCATCGTATATTTGCCTCTGTTCAAGGATTCTTCTTGGGTGCATTTGGAATGTAATTTTTGTTATTTTGTAGATATATATTTGTAAATGTGATACCTCTATTTCTGGGAGCCATTACCAGTCTGGGACTACTAGAGAACCTGACAACCTGTGGGAATCGTGACATCAGTCATTGCTTTGCCTTAGAAATAGCATCAGGTGATTACTCAATGAGAACTGATAGGTAATGAGTGCCAGATGTGTTTGTATTTCCGAGGAGGGAGTGTGTGAGTGAGTATAGCTTTTACACTGCTTTTAGCAATATTCCAGCAATATCACGGCAGGGGACACCAGAAATGGGCTTCACACATTGTATCCATTTTTGGACTCGAAGATGGGTTTTCGGCATGATGAGCGATTGGTTTAACCACACGGCTACCCACCACCCCTATTTCTGAGGAGAAAGTTTCATCAATCAATGTGATGTTAGTACAGAAATGTCATGCTTCCTCTATTACAAAGACTTCATGATTAGATTATAGTGACGACGTCATAGTCCTAACTGCCAGTTCACCTGATGAAGGGACCTGGAATGGTCTCGAAACGTCGTGAGAGAAATTAAAAAGAAGTTTAATCCATAAAAATATTTTGGACATAGATTAATTGTGTTTCAAACAGGGAGAACAATACTGAGATGCTAATAATCGCAGCAATCATATACAAAACTGCTTCTTGTAGGGCTTATGAAATCGCTTTATTTGTGTTTGGCTGATACAATTTAGTCTATTCATTTCCGTTAAATCTTGTACATAAAGAATATTTTGTGCCTTTTATATGCATATTAATTGACTTTGTAAGACAGATCGATGACTGAAGAATAAGAAAATATGTTAAAACTGACATGAAGTTTTTGCATCATTTCACATTTAAGTAAAACCGCTAAATATCAAATCATGTATCTGAGAACAGTTGAACAGTGCCCAAATACATATTTCTTCCTCTAGGGGCGGTGGTAAAAGCGTTCACTTGTCACACTGAAGATCCCCCACATAATAGAAAAACCCATTTCTGGTGTCCTCTGCAGTGATATTGATCACTCACTCACTGTTTCTTCCTATAGGAAAAAAAGAACCAACATGCTACCTACACTTTTATCCATGAATTTTTTACAATGTGGTTAGAGAGGCACATTAATATCTTGGTCATTAGGTCACTGATCCTACAAAATGAAACAATCATTCCCGGAAAAGCACCAGTAGGCCATTGGGAAACCCTGAGCCCATCCATCATAATAAACGGTGTGTTATCCCTGAACAGAAGGTGTTTAATTATTTGACATCATTTTAGTGTGCCAGTCAGTCGGCATATTGATTTTATTGTGGCTTTCTGTGTGATGGTAGCTGATGGCACCAGCGACACATCGGTACGAGTCGCCAGGTAGGTTTTACCTGTGTGCTGGCAATTATTGAGCCTGATGCATCAAGTCAGCTGCTGAGAACCATGTTAACACTATCGCTATTAAATGGTGTCCGAACCTTTTGTATTATCACCTCGTAGGAAATATAGTTCTTTTTGGATTTACACCTGGATCCATGAAAGAAGTCGAAAATACAAATTGTGCATAAAATGTTCGTGATTTGATGATGTTGTGATTGTCGAGTCACATGACAGTTTGACGCAGTGGCTGATGCTGCAGTATGTTTCCTTCAGAGGTAAGGCCGACATTTTTTATTGACAGAACAGGTTGACAATAGAATTGATTTTGCCTACGTCGTTTTTGAGTCATGTATGTTATGATTTATTATTGCAAGCTATGATTACAGACTGGATGAAAATCAATGCCATGTAAAGCAGAGATGTGTTCGTTGTTTCGGCAGCGTAGGGGGAATAATCACTAGAAACAGTTACATAAATTGCTATCATCATATCCGTGATTGGTTTGTAAGAAATTGTGTGCTGGTTTGATGATTTAGAAATCATATAAATTAGACGAGTCAGAGATTCATTTGTAGCGGCAGCTCCCAAGACAGACATTTATCCCCAATCATAATACCTACTTTCCGTCAACTGGTTTGATATCAGTATATATTATCCCACATATACAACAAACATCACATTCAATATGAACGTGTGCTGTCAAATAGCCCCCATTGTCAGCTTGTCTCCAAGCTGTTTGAAACAGCTGTCAAAAGAAAAGATGAAAGTTGAATATATTATGAATAACCCATAAGTGCTCGGTATAAGTTCTTGTTTTGATTGCAATAGGATCTGTCCATCACTGAAGAGCTTTGAAGTGCATGTAGAGAAGTGATCCATTGACTGGCCTATATATTGATTGGTCCTCCGTAGATGTAGGAGTGTAGTTGAAGTTAGTTGCTGTATGGCTGGTGGGTCACTTGAGGTAAATACACTCCTTTTAAATGTCAAACGTCAACTATAATAGCACCAATGTCTGAATGTCATTGCTCGACCCATCATGGTAGATCTAGTCGGTTACTTCAGCTGCAAGAACTGTTTACTAAATGTCCAGCTCATACATTAAATTTAATGTGAAATGCATTTTAAAGGAATATTTGTATACCATTGTATTTTTCTATTTTTAGAGGGGGCGGTGGGGTAGCCTAGTGGTTAAAGCGTTCGCTCGTGACGCCGAAGACCCGGGTTCGAATCCCCACATGGGCACAATGTGTGAAGCCCATTTCTGGTGTCCCCCGCCGTGATGTTGCTGGAATATTGCTAAAAGCGGCGTAAAACCAAAACTCAGTCAGTCAGTCAGTCTATTTTTAGATGGCACATTGTAACATATTGACTATTACCGCCTGAGTCCGCTGTATGTTACTGTAAGTCGATTGTTAGTTACTGTCAACATGTGTGCACTCTCAGGTTAATCAGAGCATGTTGTGTCACTGTAACATGAGTGACTTTAACAGCATATACATTAATAAATAATTGTTTCTGTTTTAATTCATTTACTTGATGTCATATGAAACTTGTTGTTTCTGCAAATTGGTAGTTCATGGATAAATGTTTATCATCGAACTTGCTACCACAGGAAATAAGCAAAAATTCTCTCATGTAAATCAGTGAACAGCTTGAAAATTATATGTATAACAAGGTGACCTGTAACCTGTACGTAAATCGGGCCTAGCAAACTGCAGTGACACACAGTGACCTGTCAGAAATTGTAACCACCCAATCCCCTTTAGTCAGTGCTCACAGGTCAAGCCTGAGGTATTGGTATTCTAACTGTGCCCCTCAACCACTTACTATCTTAAGATCCTCCCTGAAAAAGTGTAGTTATTTTGGTTTCCCATCCCAAACGTATGAACAGATATTGTTATTGTACAAATCACATAAACATGATTTATACTTGAGGGGCGGAGGGGTAGCCTAGTGGTTAAAGCATTCACTCGTTACACCGACGACCTGGGTTCGATTCCCCACATGGGTACAATGTGTCAAGCCCATTTCTGGTGTCTTCCTCCATGATCTTGCTGGAATATTGTTAAAGCAACGTAAAACTAAACTCGCTCATTCATTTTACACACATGTACTTGAAAACTTTTATCAACTTCTGTTTCTGGTTGGCTCAAACACATGTGAAGCCACTTCAATGTGGAATAACAGAGTGCTTGTAAACCAACAGTTCCCTGGAACACTGTAATGGTTCTTAACACTTTACTGAGATTAAGCCGCTATGTATCACCAAGCATGTCTCTTAAGGACTGTTAATTTAAGGACATGGAAACTCAAATGCTGATTTTATACCAGCAACACCATTTCACAAAGTGATCTTAGTGTCAAGACAATCATTGATGATGTACTAAAATATTGACTTAGCGCTAAGATCGTTTTTTGGGATGGTTCCTTTGACTGTTCAACAATTGATTGACGACTACCCATTGATAGGTATGTGTCTTATACAAGGTCTGGCAACTTATGTATGTTTGAATGAAGAAGGAACTCCAACACAAACTTCTTAACCTGTCATAGTGTGAGTGCTTTTTATATAGATCGGATTTCTCAGGATGAAGTCATGATGGAAGGTTTCAGAATATAGAGTAGATCTTGTTTGGGGAGGATCTTCCAGAAATATGATTAGGTTCTCTTAACATGACAATAGGGGCTTAGGGAGTCTAGACGGTTTGCCTAACTAGGGTAGGAGAGCCCACATTGGATTATTTGTTGAGACATTTGACAATCCTGTGTGAACATAACATGTTTCCTGAAGGAGGACGATGAGGTCATGTCTGAGGTTGTTGAGCTGTTTCTAGAATGTGTGTATTATATAGATAAAAATATTTTATGTCTGCTTTTGATGTTTTTCACACTAGACAAAACCAAATCAGGATGTTGCTTTATATTAGAGCAGGTCCCCTTCAAAAGTGAGTAAGTGAGTGAGTAAGTATGGTTTTACGCTGCTAATAGCTATATTCCAGCAATATCACAGCATGGGATACCAGAAATGGGCAAAAGATTGAACCTTTGGGTGGATTATGGTCTACCATACTGATTTGGGTGATCATGTTTAACCATACAATTTGGATAGTGGCTCATTACATCAATCACTGAATTGTATGGACCAGACTTACTGTCCACTACTGTTGTAGGGACCTGTGAAGATCCGGGTTAGAATTGATCTTCAGCAACCCATGCTTGTCGTAAGAGGCGACTAACAGGATTGGGTGGTCAGGCTCGCTGACTTGGTTGACACATGTCATCGTATCCCAATTGTGTAGATTGATGCTCATGCTGTTGGTCACGGGATTGTCTGGTCTAGACTCAATTACTTACAGACTGCCGCCATATAGCTCGAATATTGTTGAGTGTGGCGTAAAACTAAACTCACTCACTCACTCAATCATGCAGTACTTTATTGATTGAAGGAATGTTTGATAAGTTTGGTGAGAACAAAGTTTAATTCTCAGTCACTCAGTTGAGAGTGATTACATGTTACAAACATGTTGTGATTTCAATCATCATCTTTAATTAATTAATGTCAGAAACTGTAATAGTTCCAGACTGTTGTCGCCAGGTACTTCGTGGATGCATTTATTCTCTCTCAACATCTTGGCATTAAACCTTACTTTCTTTTATAAATCTAAGTCTATTATAGGTAATTTAATGTTTTGTCTAAAAACAAAATCAGAAATTTTTGACACATTCACAAAATCATTATTATTGCAAAAAATAATTTATCATTGTTAAAATCAAAATTGTAACTGGTTATTTTTCATAAATGTCCAAAATAAGAAGATTAATCATATTCTAAAGATGAAAACCCTTTCGGACACACTAATAGAACCTGTTCTCTATCTGTTATATTGAGGCCTGATTGCACACAAAGCATTAAAACTTCAATTTCGAACCGAAGAAGAGCTATGGATCCATAATTATAAATGAAATTTAAAGATTAACTTGAGCAAATATTGATTTTTCATCACATCCTTTGAAGCCCAGAGATTACACAAATGTTACCAGTATGAAATATATTTTTCCAGAAATGTCAGTAATCTCCAATTAATTTGCCCTTCTTCATCAGCCCATGTCAAGCTTCAGCACCATATTTCCATTTGAGGATGTATTTGTTTGGATGAACTAGTCCAGCCAGGTGTTGGGCTTCTCACATCGCCTTGGGTTAACTGAACGACATTAACCAAAGCTTATTAGACTAAGTGAGGCAAAAGTCCTTACTCTGATCGAAGTAGGCAGTGTTTACCAAGAAGGAGAGGGCAGTGTCCATCATATTTGTTAAATCAACCTCCGGGATACCAAGTCTGAATTCATGAGATTAATGGCACTGGTCTCAGACCATTCCACTCATTGATTTGTCTGCCGTGTGGTCTGAAGATTGTCATAAATTTCGGCTGACCATTCATATGGTGCTGAGGTTGACTGTCAGCCATTTTGAAAAATGACCAATTATTTTTCTCCCTATTGAGCTTGTCTAGTAAAATAGCCACAAATTATCTAGAGAATATATTCCTTGTTTGAACTTTACCATCTTCCTTCCGTTCTAGAGAGTGTTCTCTCGAAGGATGAAAGTCATTTCAGTTTTCTGGTTACGTCAAACAACTTAACTGCCACAGATGTCACAGAATAAAAAGGAAAAAGAAATATATAAATATGTATACCATAGACATCAAAACTCACATAGAAGTAATTAGTTTATCATGACACAGCTGGCCTTGAAGTGAAATGTAATAGATAAAATATTGACTGTTGTAGCTTTTATGTACATGGTTTTGATCTTCTGTTTCAAAACCAATTGAAATGTTCTGTTACTGTGTGGTGTGAAAATCTATATTTCAAAATTACTTTTTTTTCATCTTGAATCAACTTTCTCTGATGAAACCAGTTTTCCAGAATACCACAGTATACAGTGAATGAGTGATACTGTTTAGGCATGTGTTTTAAGAACCAATGTTCTCTGAGTGCCATGTTATAATGAAAATGCTGTAGTGTGATTTGAGATTAGAAAATGGTTACTAGAAGAACCATGACCTACTTGACCTCTTTAGACTTTTCCTGCTCTCGGTATAAGGGTCGGTGGGGTAGCCCAGTGGTTAACATGTTTGCTCATGACGCCGAAGGCCCGGGTTCGATTCCCCACATGGGTACAATGTGTGAAGCCCATTTCTGGTGTCACCAGCTGTGATATTGCTGGAATATTGCTACAAGTGGTGTAAAACCCAAATCACTCTCCGTATAAGGATTTAATAAATTATATAATCATTCATCAGTATATGCAGTCTTGTATTGGCGGTCCAGCAATAATGCATTGAAGAAGGAACAGAATAGCTACAAACCATCCCATTCATTTTAAGAGGATGAGGGGCGGTGGGGTAGCCTAGTGGTTAAAAGCGTTGGCTAGAAGACCGGGTTCGATTGGGCACAATAATTTCTGGTGTCCCCAGCTTTATTGCTGGAATATTGCTAAAAGCTCTAAACTCAGTCAGTCAGTTAAGAGGATGAATGGCCAAGTTGAATAATAATGACTTTCCTCACTGATTTGACATGAATGATTTTGCCTTTGAATCTGTTTTTGTACTAAATTACTGCAAAGTTTTGAAATTGTTGCTTTTTATGAAGCTATTCATTCTGCATTTTATTTATTGTCTGTGATGGATTTCTCTCATGTCAGTTAATCTAAATTTGTTTGAGATATGATGGAAACATTTTTTAGAACTTTGATACATTTATTTTTTTTCTTGTCATTTTTCATTGAAATTGTAGGGGGAAAACATTGCGAGTGAGTCACACTGCTTTATCTTGTTGTGCCGATGTTCCTGACATTGATCTATTGGTTCATCAGCCTTGGTCGAGACCCTTCAGCTTAACACTACACATTTGGCGCCTACTTGGCATGTGTTCAACTTTTAAGATCCACAGTCGATATATCTTGTTGTTATTGGAGGCTTTTTAAAGTATATATCATTTAGTTGTGAGCAAAGTTGTTTTTGGAGGCTTTTTGGAGCATATATCATTTAGTTGTGAGCGAGGGTAGGATGGCAACAAACAGGCTGTCATGTCAGATTTCATCATTCTCACATAAGAAAACCATGCTTGACTAACACTTAGTCTCTGAATATATATAACTCTGATTCAAACAAAAACTCTGTTTAAATTGAAAAGGATCTTGACAAGATGGATCTAGAGCTTCTGTATTGCAGAAAGGGTTGGGCGGAATAAGAAATAATGTGGTTCAGGGACTGTGAGACTAAACCCATGCAATTGACAATTAAATCAATATGCCATTATGTTGATGGACCCTTGCTGAGTAGCCGTATAGAAGTCATTTTGTGTATGTGATTGGTCCGTGCTCAAAGGCACCACAGTTATCACCCTTAGATTTGCAAGGATCCAAACCTAAGATTTTCCTTGATGACCACATCACCATACACATATGTGTATCCTGTGTCATTGTGGGCGGTCTTCTTATATTTAGCTAGCATGTCATCCCTGAAATGACCGTCTCCGTGGTGTAGTGGTTAGAGCGTCCGCCCGGAGAGCGGAAGGTCGCGGGTTCGATCCCTGACCGCGTCATACCAAAAGACGTTAAAATATGGTACTTGTTGGTCCCTGCCTGGCTCTCGGCGTTAATGGGTACATCAAGGACTGGTTGGCTCGGAGTCAGTATAATGTGTCTGAGTGGGGTATTCATGCTTCACTGCGGCATGGTATCTCAGTGGGCTAGCACTATAAAACCAGCTTCAGTCTGGGCTAGTACAAGCAGCCGCACATACACATACACACGCATGCACGTCGTCATATGAACGAAATATTCTCAAGCACGACGTTAAATCCAAATTCACCTCACCTCACCTCATCCCTGAAATATGATTCAAAGTGGCATAAAACTCAACTCACTCACTCACTCTGTTAATTCTTGGATATATTTTAATCAATGCCTGGTATTAATTTCTAAATGGTTGTTAAATAGAAAAGAATTGAAAAGTTCCCTTGCACAAGATATAAGACAAGAATGATGCATCTTGAGTTTCTCACAACTTGACCATTACAACTTAACAACGTACCAAAATACCCACAGTTGGAAAAACATACAGTGCTTGATCTATGTCCATTTGAAATAGTGGTCTATACTCCCACATCCCTTGCCACCAGTGATTAATGGAAGAAAGTTTCCAGATAAAGAGGAAAAGTAATCCTCTTATCTCCTTGCTGCTAGATGGAACTTTTTAACAGGAGGTTATTTGTGAAACAAACACCAAAACTTGCCCTTGGAGCAAACAAAATGGAAAAACTCAACTCTTATCAGATGTTCATTTCATTGCCCCATTTGTGGAACAGCAATAATATTTTTTCCCACAAAATATAGAAGACTGAATTGTCTAATAAGTCTCTGTATTGTTATTGAAAAAAGAGCTGAAAATTTTATTGAATGAGATGAGTATGGGACTCTTAAAGTCTTGGCAACGAAACATCAAGCGGAATGCTTATCTGTTTTAATGTGTTCGATTTTACCCTGCAGACTTTAACATTTTCAAGATTTCACTGAAAGTTAAACTGAAAAAGTAGCTGAACACCGAATAAATTCAAATTTTATGACAGGCTGCATATTCCTTATTACTCAAGTGAATGAGAATAGGTTCAGCAAAATAGTGAAGGTAGAGTTATTGTGGTTAGAAATGTAAGAAGTCACAGCATTGAAACCTCATTTTGTAATAGCATAGCATGGTGGAATGTAATTGCGTTTCAAAAATTGCATTTATTTTTGTTTGTATTCGTAATGGGGATCTTTTTGTCCATTTTTGGTTTACAGTATTTGAAACTGCCATAATTTGTTGAACCTGTATGCTCATCTGTTAAGTTAGTGATTGATGTATCTGTAAAGTTCTGCAGTGCCTTGCATAACACAATCCATGCTAACCATCTTCTCTCTTCAATAAGACAATTTGGTCATCTGCATTAAGGACAACAGATTGGTGGTGTGTGTGTGGTGAGGAGTGAGTAAGTGAGTGAGTTAAGTTTTACACCACTTTTAGCAATATTCCAGCAATATCATGGCGGGGGACACCAGAAATGTGTTTCACACATTGTACCCATGTGGGGAATTGAACCTGGGTCTTCAGCGTGAAGAGCGACCACTTTGACCACTAGGCTACCCCACTGCCCCTGTGGTGAAGAAGTCTCAACTGACTGATTTGTGTGCAATAACCCAGGTTTGTGTCATTTCAAAGATGATGAAACCCATTAAGATATGGGTTAGAATTGGCCTTCAGTAACCCATGCTTGTTGTAAGAGGTGACTAATGGGACCGGGTGGTCAGGCTCGCTGACTTGGTTGACACGTCATTGTATTCTAATTCTGTAGATCAATGCTCATGCTGTTGATCACTGGATGGTCTGGTTCAGACTTATTTACAGAATGCTGCCATATAGCTGGAATATTGCTGAGTGCAGCGTTAAACAACAATCAAACCACAAATAAAAGGTGATGAACCACTGGTTTACCTGGACCAAACTGAGATCATTGATAAATCATGCTGAAACATCATTCACACAACCACAAAGTTGTCTTGGGCTGTCTACACAACAAGGTGCCACACATTCTCCATTTTGAATCATTTGTATAACCAGTTGTCACTGTGGTAGCGACTTGGAACAGACGCTAGCACTCCATACTATTCATGCATTCAAACCTTCGATTCAGTGGAGTAAGACATGAATACCGATGAAGCGACAAGACCAGCTCGGACATGTTGGATGTAATCTTACAACCCTGATGCTGCTTTCTAGTGAACCTCGTAAGGATGTAGTCCTATCGTGCTATCAGTACTACTCTCCCTCTCCGTTGTTCCAGGCCATTACAAACATACCTAACTAGGCTGTGCCCGTGTACTTCCTGTGTTACCATCAGCTCTGTACTTTACAACAAGCCCCAATCTCCCAGTCCAATAAGTCCGGAAACCAGAGTTTAGACCTCATCTATTGTGGCTAATAGCCAGGATAAATTGATCCATGAAAGTATAACCCAATTTGAGGCACACAAATATTGCTGTGCAATAAACTGGCCAATTTGCACCTATTTTGAAAGGATACTTTAGTTTTGTTTTATACATCTTTGAACGTAAAATTTCTGTTTTTAGATCCTTGAAACAAATTCTGTTAAGGGAGTGATGAGTTATGAGACTTTTAGCATATATATTAACGGAAGAGGATGATTGATTTGTGTTTTTGAAGAAGGATCCATTACCACTTGTACAATACATGTAACCATGAATATTTATTGGGGATTTTTGCAGAGTACTTTTAGTCGATGCATACTGATTTTATCTTTGTTTTTTCTTATTTACATGAACAGTTGTTACTCATGCTTTGTACAATAACTGCTGTCAATTTTCTGGTCATTCCATTGGGTATAAAAGGTGAAAAATCCAGTGAATATTATATACTACTCACACTTTGCTAAGGATCACAAAAATTCACCACTTTACTTAAACGTAGATTCATAATTTGAAATTGTATCCATTTAAAACTGGATAAATAATAATATGGTAACCCCTCTTTAGGCAAACAGTCACTTTAACCTAACCTTATGCACTTGATACATGAGTAACCATAAAAATGGTTTTCATGGCACCAATCAGCCATTTTGCAAATCATGGAACGACAATGACAAACTGAAACATAGGATCCGTAGCAAAGTGTGAATAGTATAAATGATTGGATCACAGTGATGAAACCAGGTATTTGTGAGTCAGATAGCCCAAACATTAGACAGTAAAGGTGATAAAATCTGTTTTGATGACTAAATAACATTCGTATTTTCTAAACTGAACTATCCCTATGGTGTGTCAGAAGACTTTCGAAGATGACATGTAACAGTTACTAACCGAGAAATGTGGTGACTTGTACGAGCAGACGCACACATGTTGCTTTGTAGGTGAAATAATCATGAATGAGATGTTCAATGACTTGACCTCACTTTCTGTACAAAACATTGATCGGGAGGGGAACTAGCCTTTTTCTGTTTATGGACAAGGCAGAATGAAGAGGAAAAAACAACTTCAGAGTGCCGTCTGCTTGCACTTCATCTTTGTGATCAGTACCAATATGGGAGTGCTAGGGTAGAACAGTACAGTCATCGTTTTGATCGGCATAGAAGTTGGTGAATCAATAATGTAGTATTCAACTTTATGGCTGACAACTATGCAATAAACAAGATGTTGTCATACATAAAGTTTTATGCTTCATTTTAGTATAGTCATTACCATGAAATACATGGTGTGTGAAAACACTCCCAAATGTTTATGTAGCACAGTGTTTAGAGCAGTCTCAAATCTCATGAAAAGCTCAGTGTCCCACTCCATGATAATGATGATATATTGCTATTAGCAGCATTAAACCTAGACTAACGGTTAGTCTTTGAATATATATGATTTTGATAGTGACAAACAAACCCATTTAAATTGAAAAGGAGACCAGTGTGATGTGAGATCCTGAACCTGAGGAAATCTAGACTTGCTTCATTTAGTGCTTTGGCATTGCAGGGTGGGGCTAATCAGTCAGGAAAATAATGTGGTTCAGGGACTGGGAGACTACATAAACCCCAACTCGCTTAACCACTCTACCACATTGAAGCTAAAATATTGTAGTGAAACTTCCCACGACCCAATCCACAGCAGAAATACTGTGGTTTCTAACAAGAATCAAGCAGACTGGTCGGTGTGAATGCCTTATCACTTCAGGAGCTGTTCTGTTTATGAGCAGCTATACTGATGGTAACCCAGACCGATGGATAAACATTCAGATTAAAGCAATTAACCTGTTCACAAGAAGCATGGTCTGGGTCTGGCTAGGGTAAACACAACACAGATTTCTTACTAATAGTACAGACCCTACATTCAGACATGTCACAATAAATCTCAGAAAATGGTTCATTACTCTCAGTTTCAAATTTTGTTTAAAACTTTGTTTAAGAGTTTTAGGAGCCCAGGTGTTTTATATGTATAACAACATTTAAAAGAGGAAAAACATCAGCTGTCTGAGATGAAAGAGGTGCTGGTAGAGTTTACAATTTGTTGTTTTTCTGTTGATGTTTGTGTCAGCCAAGATCTCATAAAGGTTCATTCATGAATTAAGTAATTGGCTAAACAAACATCAGGTCTCTGAAATTTGGTTTAAAGTTTTCTTTTTGTTAATTATGTTTATATATTTGATAAAAGCAGCTCAGGGGATTTCACTTTACTGAAGCCACAATATTGTACACTTTCTTTGAATGTATTTACACTTATATTTTAGGATTTGTATAAGAGACTAGTATTTGGTATTTTCTTCATACTGTATTTGTAAGCAGGAGTAATGTAGAAAGAATATTGGTGTTGGAAACACTGTTATCTGTTTATTGAATCCAATAAATAGTACTCATTGCATCAACGGAAATTCTGTAACCATGGACACAAGACTTGTGACCAGACTGTATACACCTAGTCTGCTTTGCTTCACTCAATGTACTGAGATCACTAAGCCCTGTTAAGACAGTCCGCTATTGCATATTTTATATAAGGTCAGTATGAGTATTACAGGGGCCAACCAAGTCAGTCTGTGGCTTAATGGTGATACTTATTAACCGGTGCAATAGGTTAGGGGTAAACATACCTTCGATTCATTCTGTGTAAAGTATGGTCTTGCATAGGCGGATCCAGGAATTTTGAAAGGTGTGTGTGTGTGTGTGTGTGTGTGTGGTTCAGGGGGTTCGAACCCCCTAAACCCCCCCATTGGCTCCGCCAACGCCAAAAAAATCTTCAATGTGGTCTTAAGTCATTTTCAAATGGGGGGTTTTGAACCCCCTGAACCCACCCTCTGGATCCGCCAATGTCTTGTATGGCATGGTATGGACAGGAGCACTATGTTCTAAAACATTCAGCATTCTAAATAGATAGTTTCCTTTTTGTTAAACATGAAAATAATTATTTCAGCATTTAGAGAACAGATTATTGTTTTCTATTCAAGAATACGTTCAATAAATCCCTGTACTCATCTCACTGTGATTTGAGAGTATGACAAGTTCATATTTTGAGCTCAAGTTGTCAGATCTTATCAAAACTGATTTTAAAGCAAAAATACATCAGGAGTCATTAAGTCCATGTTTTTACCCCAATTTGAGGAACTATCTCAGATAGCACTGTAAACATTCAAGACTGTGTTGAATGATACACTGAAAGTCTTTTTCACCACAAATCTGTGTCTAAAGCATTCTGGGATTGTTTTTATTCTGATCACAATGTTCCAGCAAAAAAATCCTTAATCCAACATGTCCATTACCTGTATCTTTTATGCATTCCCTGGTGAAGTTAACGCTTGGCCTAGAGCTGTTTTCAGGCTTGATGTATGGTGCTATCGTGTGTGATACCGCCATAACTCTCCTGTGGCCGATAACTACGCAACAGTGACACAGTGTTAGAGACCAATTTAATGATGGTCATAACTTCATGCTTGCCGGGATTATACCTTGTTGCACTATATATGATAAATGGTTACGTTTGGCTAGACAGTTTGATTGTATATTTAACATGTCCACAAATAGCTATTGTCACCAGCTCCATAACAGACAGCAGGAGCTGTATGTTTGTGCCACTGATGCTTCCGCAGACAATGGCTCCATGGCTGTTAGTAATATGGCTGAATCGCTGTGATGTACTGCTCCATATACACTGACATTTAGTCCCACAAATGAAGTTTATCATATTTGAAAATATCAAAAAAGATAATTTATGGATTATCTATATTGTACTTGCCAACTTCTAAAATGCCACTCAAAGAAGATATTTATCTGCAAAACAAATCTAAATAGAGACCAGAATATTCCTTAATTTCTGGAGCTGTGGCAATTAGACTTGTTATATCATTCTAGACTCATTTCATTTATTTTCCAGAGTCTGGGAGGCAGACTAGGTTTCATAAACTGAAGCCTAGACCAATGCTTAGTCTTTGAATATATATAAGTTTTACAGAAACAAATAATTACATTTAAATTGAAGAGCAGCTCCAGTGAGACAGGAAATAAACCTGACAAAATTTAGACATGCTTCATGAAGTGCTTTACCATTGTAGGAAGGGATGGGAGGAAGGGAAAATAATGTGGTTTAAGGACTGTGAGACAGACCACTGTAAGGTATTAACCATAGTGTTGGGAATTGGTTGAAATCTCACAATTGATGATTGCTTCATTACCAACGAACAATCATCGAAAAAAAATTGGTTAGAGTCATTTTTCAGATTTTCATATCCAGGTTGTTACTGCAGAAAAGTATAACATGATGCAACTTGTTACTTTAAAGTGATGACTAATATATCATGAACATAAACTTCCTGGAGTCTTAGAGAAATATTCAGTCATGACTTTTCAGTTAGTGAAGTGAGTTTTCTAAGAAATAAACATGTTTCCAGGCCCTGACAACTTCTAAGATATGTTCCATTGTCAAGTATTTCAGTAGTTCCAAAATCATTTATGTTCGATTATGAGAAAATGTGATCGATTGCTTTGTCGTTTGGTCACTGCGACCAATCTTCGATTATTTCAATTAATCGGAACACCACTAATTAACCATGTTAAAATATGCTGGCTCCATGTCCATCTGGTACCAATATTGGTTCACAGCTGTTGCTGGTCTCCAGTGGCCTTCCTACCATCACTGGCTCCATTCCGTCTTGTTCCACATGTCCACCCAGGCTCCAAAGGCATTATTGGTTCCATAGGTGTTGTCTTGACTACATTGCTGTTGGAACCGGCTCCATATCTGTCTGTTTGTTTTCTGTTGGTTGTTCAATGCAGCACCCAGGAAGAGCTATAGAACAGCCATCTTTAAATAATGTCATCTTGACAATACTTTGATTGATGTCATGAGATTTGATGTACATAGTTGGAATATGATGTCATCCACCTGTTAACCAAGCCATTTTGTAATATATGGTTCTAATGGCATTACTTCAAACCCTGCAATAACAGGGTGACACTGATTACTGATGACACTGACTTCATATCTGTATAGATAGTTCTTCTGGCTACATTGCTAATGACACTGGCTCCATGTCTCAAATACTTGTGACTCCACTGACATTACTGTCATCACTATTAGCAGCACAGGCTCCACAGATGGTGTCCAGTGCAGAGGACCGAGGACCCGGGTTCGATTCCCCACATGGGTACAATGTGTGAAACCTGTTTCTGGTGTCCCCCCCACTGTGATATTGCTGGAATATTGCTAAAACTGGTGTAAAACCCAACTCACTCACTCACTCACTCACTCATCATTCATTAGTTTGATATATTTTATTCCATATAAAAGCCTTCAGCTCATTTTACACAGCTGCAGTGACATATTAGTTTCAACTACAGAAATGAGGACATATTATTCATTTGTTATGAGATTTATAGTTTTCTTTAATTACCTTGTCTTTCAGTGGAAATTTTATGACCCAGTCTGACTTCAAAGGAAATACATATCATTTTCCCAGTCATCAACAGCTGTTATTGAAAGGGTTATTAATTTTGTTTATATTACTGAATCCAATGTACCATTTGCAGTGTCAAAATATGAAGTTCATGTAGATTCCCTTCAAGCAAAATGGCAAACCCAAACTGGGTACTATGATATTGATAGGTAGAGTGTGAATAATTGGGAATGTTTAATGAGTTGAGTTGAGTTGAGTTTTACGCCACACTCAGCAATATTCCAGCTATATGGCGGCGGTCTGTAAATAATCGAGTCTGTAAATCCAATCAACATCTGGACCAATGACATGTGTCAACCATCCAGTGATCAACAGCATGGTTACTGAAGGTTCATTCTAACCCGGTTGGGTAGCATCCTGCATCCTGTGGAGGTTAAAGTGTCCGTGTCCGCATCATGCTGAAGACCCGGGTTTGATTCCCCACATGGGTACAATATGTGAAGCCATTTCTGCTGTGATATTGCTGGAATATTGCTAAAAGTGGCATAAAACCATACTCACTCACTCACTTACTGTGCAGATTATATATTCAGAAAAGACTCTGTTGTTCACTGGATAGATGTATGCCCAGAGAATGGAAGGTCAGTGGTTTTGATTCCCTGCCTACATAATAAAACATGTTAAATTAAATTTGACAATTAGAGAATCAAACAATGACTGATCATCTCCTAGTGACAAGTCCATGTTTCAAGTCCATCTGGCTGAGTGGGGTATCCTTGTTTAACTACAGCACACACAACATATGTACATGTATGTAACTTAATACCTGCAGTAATCTTTATGTGATTCCACACGTCTTCCAGAATACACATTTTTGCCGTACATGCATAAAACAAGGACATCCAAATGTCAGCGATGTCAATTATTTACCAAAGAAGACAGGTGAAGAAATTTACAAAAAAATACGTATGCTCAGTTCACATTTGCGAAAGCAAGTATTAAATGTCAGATGAAAAGATCAAGTTTAATGCTAACTAAAGTGCTAATACCATAGACTTTAGATCGATTTGTAATATACGTTAACATTGTAGATGATGATCTGTTGAAGATTCCAGCCCAAGGGAGGCAACTCCTGTTTCCTATTCTAAAGCCCTCAGATCAATACAAACATGAATGGTAGCACTGCTGATTCAGATGGATTTATCCAGTTTCGTTGAAGTTGCAATAATAAATAGAATTGAAATTATTGATTGTGAATGATGAAGAACCAGCATAAACTGTGGGGAAAAGGTGCATCCA